GGGTTAGACTAGATGACCTACAAGGTCCCTTCCAACTCTTATCTGTCTGTAGCTACCACTAAGCCACAGTCCTTCCGTTGCTTAGTCCCAAGGCCTTACTTTTCCTAGGGTCAAGACACGAAGCTAGTTAAGAAGCCCCTCTCTGCATTTTCCCAGTTTATCCAGGATGGGCCTTACCTGCTTCAGTTCTTCCTGCACCCCTTCACACACACACACCCCACTCCCCTTCTCCAGGCTGTGCCCTTGAGCCCAATAAGGGCTGTGACTGCATGATATGCCAGCTACTTTTCAGCTGACCATAAATTCAGTAGTAAACAGCCTGAGAATGAATCCCAGTAAATATCATTAAGTGCTGTACCTTATGGTTCTTGAGAAATGTATCCTGTCTTTCTATGTACACTGAGAGCATCTGCACCAAAGACAAATTCCTTGTGTGTCCAATCACACTTGGCCAATAAAAGATTCTATTCTATTCTATTCTATTCTATTCTATTCTATAGAATGTATCTTGTCTTTCTATGTACACTGAGAGCATCTGCACCAAAGACAAATTCCTTGTGTGTCCAATCATACTTGGCCAATAAAGGAATTCTATTCTCCTCTATTCTATTCTATTCACAAACTGCAATGCTAACCTTTATAGGAAATGTAATTTAATGGCTTGCTGTGTTTTTCCTTGTTTTTTTGTCTCCCAACATCCGGGAATGGCAAGGTTGTTCGAGGACTCGGGAGGGAGTAAATCCACTGCCAGAACATTCCTGCCCCAGCGTTTGATTTTCACTGGGGGGCATTTTTGGCGAAGAACATCCTGTTCTTCTAAATACCTCACCCTCCAGTTGGGACAAGCAGTATTTTCTGCCTCCTGGGCCTCCCACCTTTTCATTTTCTCTTCCACCCAACCCTGGAAGATTCTGCCAGTTGGAGTTCTCCTCCCCTGATGAAATCTAACCAGGACGATGTTCCATTAAGGGAAACCCTTATCCATCCCCTATTCGGAGGATAGAAAAGAACTAAACGCAGTTCTGGTCCAAGATTTGGGGCTATTTTTCTCATCCAGGGAAACTGCAAGGAGGTGGATTTCAGTGAAATATTGGAATAAACTTCCTAAGGAAAATAGACCTTAGCAGTCTCCGAGGATGTAAACAAATCCTGAATCTTGCATAGTACTACAAACCTAGACATGAGCAAAGGGATTGGATTGGCACAGCCGTTGCCGAGAATGATACAGATACAGATTGACAGAGTTGGAAGGGATCTTGTAGGTCATCTAGTCCAACCCCCTGCCCAAGCAGGGGACCCTACACCATTTTTGTCAGATGGCAGTCCAGTTTCTTCTTGAAAGCTTCCAGGGGTGAAGCTGCCACAACTTCTGAAGGCAACTTCTGTTCCATAGCTTGATTGTTCTCACTGTCAGAAAGTTCCTCCTTATTTCCAGGTTGAATCTCTCCTTGATTGGTTTCCATCCATTATGATTCCTTGTCTTTGGAGAATAGCTTGACCGCCTCTTCTCTGTAGCACCCCCTCAAATATTGGAACCCTAATATCATGTCTCCCCTGGTCCCTCTCTTCACTAGTCTAGCCATGCCCAGTTCCTGCAACTGTTCATCCTATGTTTTAGCCTCCAGTCCCCTCATCATCCTGNTTATTTTAGCGCATGCGCCCAAAAGCCCAATTAGGGTTATTATCCGGGGAGGTCTTATTTTTGGGAAAACAGGGTAGGTGTCTATGGAGATTCTCGGTCATCCAGGTCATGGTTGCTCCAAAGGTGCTTTTTTCCCCAAGAGGCAACTGATTTTTTTCTTTGAAGACGCTTTGCTTCTCATCCAAGAAGCTTCTTCAGTGCTGTCTGGATGGTGGGGAACGGAAGGATTGATACTCCTTGCAGACAACTGGTCATTTGCATTCTTTTCAGAGAGCCATTGAGGGCACTTGGGAGGTTTATCTGTGTTCACCCTGAGGGAATCCTTCCCTTCCCCACCATCCAGTCAGAGTTGAAGAAGCTTCTTGGGTGAGAAGCGAAACGTCTTCAAAAGGAAAACAAAAACAAAAAAAAATCCAGTTGCCTCCTGAAAAAAAACACCTTTGGGACAACCACGACCTGGAGGACTGAGAATCTCTACAGACTTCTAGCTACACAATTTGGGACAAACACCCTTGGAATGGTGTGGGAGTAGGAATGGATTTCCAGACGGAAAAAAATTGCAGACTACAGGAACCATTTGCACCATTCAGGACACACTCTGAGGACACAGATAAACCTCCAAGTGGCCTCAACAACCCTCTAAAAAGGATGCAAATGACCAGCTGTCTGCAATCCTTCTCTCCCCCCCCCTCCCCAATCCAGTCAAAGCTGAAGAAGCTTCTTGGACAGAGAAGGGAAATGTCTTCAAAGAAAAACAAAGAAAGCCCTTTGGGACGATCAGAGTAGCTGCCTTCTCTCGGCCCACCGACACTGGCAGGGTCAGTGGGAGGATTAAACGGGCAGAGGGAGGCCTTAACTCAGGAGTCGGCAACCTTAAACACTCAAAAGAGCCATTTGGACCCATTTCCCACAGAAAAAAAAACACTGGGAGCCACAAAAACCTTCCGGTGCCGGACTATTTCCTGAGCAGCTACAAAACTAGCATATGTAGTTGAATTAAACATTCTGTTTTCTTCTGAATCTTTTATTTCCTTGGATTTATCCATGGTTGGTCTACCAGGGGTCGAAAAGCTCAATAAATCACATCCCGGTGAGTGTTGCACACTGGCAGTTGTGACGCATATTCTGAGCGACAGGGAGCTGCAGCAGGGGGATGGAAGAGCCACATGCGGCTCCAGAAGCAAAGCCTGAGCCCTGCCTTAACCAAAAGCAGGAAAAAGGGAGATTGGGAAGGCTGCAGGTGGGGCCCGGCTCCCCAGACTCACCCATGGGATCCGAGGAATCGGTGATGATCACATCAAAAGCCTCTTGGTTCTGCTTCATGAATTCAAAGCCATCCCCAACGTGGAGCGTCAGCTTCGGGCTGGAGTAGCCCACGGCCATGCCGGGGAGATATTTCTTAGAGGCCTGGATCACGTCCTGCAACATTTCGAGTCATGCATTTTTCTACTTCCAGCAAGTAACGGGCCATTTCAGCTTAGCAGCTTAGCCCAAACTGTTACTCCGGGTAACTGAGGAATTATTTTGCCAATCAGTGGAACAAAGAAAGTCCCTTTGCATCACATATCACACCTTCAGGGCATTTTTCTAGCTCTGCCTGGAGAAGCTGAAGAATCAATCTCAGCCCTTTGAATTTTAGTTGCAAAGTTGCTTAGAAATCCTAAGTTGCATTAACAAAGGGATACAATCACAATCAAGGGAGGTATTAATACCACTCTATAAAGCCCTAGTAAGGCCACACCTAGAGTACTGCATCCAGTTTTGGTCACCACACTATAAAAAGGATGTTGAGACTCTGGAAAGAGTTCAGAGAAGAGCAACCAGGATGATGATGGGGACTGGAGATTAAAACATAGGAAGAACGGTTGCAGGAACTGGGCCTGGCTAGTCTAGTGAAGAGAAGGACCAGGGGAGACAGGATAGCAGTCTTCCAATATTTGAGGGGCAGCCACAGAGAGGAAGGGGGTCAAGCTATTTTCCAAAGCACCCAAAGGCCGGACAAGGAATAAGAGATAGAAACAGAGCAAGGAGAGATTCAATCTGGAAATAAAGAGAAATTTTCTGGCAGTGAGAACAATCAACCCATGGAACAGAAGTTGTAGGAGCTTCATCACTGGAGGTTTTCAAGAAGAGACTGGACTGCCATCTGTCAGAGATGTTGTAGGGTCTCCTGCTTGGGTGGGTGGGGGGGGGTTAGACTAGATGACCTACAAGGTCCCTTCCAACTCTTATCTGTCTGTAGCTACCACTAAGCCACAGTCCTTCCGTTGCTTAGTCCCAAGGCCTTACTTTTCCTAGGGTCAAGACACGAAGCT